TTTTTGTTTTCTTTAATAGAACAACATATATAATTGAATTTGATTTAAATGTTAATTAAAATAAAAATTCGTCATAATCATTTTTATTGAACGATTATGAGAGTAGGATAATATTAAAATTTTCAAAAATAGATAAATTATTCTACAATCTAAACACCCAACCCTCTCCCACCCACCCCGTCGGAATGATTTCTAACTTTACAGTGCGAAACAAATTAAATCAACGTTCCAATGATTTCACAATGATTACAATGATTGCCAAGAAAATGCTTGACAATTTCGTGATATATGAATGTCCATATACGTTTTAAAACATAATATTTCTATTCGACTATAAAAAGATATGAAATTTATATACCGAATGGAAGATCATTTTCTAAACACTTTTATATCTCTATTCATAAACCATATACATTTTTTCTTTGTGTTATTATATCTCACAATTTTAGAAAAAATAATTTAATATATAAGAAAATAAAAGTGTATTATATTAAATATGATAACATAGTTGCCAACTGAAATATCTGATCAACGTAGTACATACCATCGATATTTAAATTTCATTATAATAACCTATATATATATATATAACCAGATAAAGTAATGACGATATTTTTTTCTTTCAATATCAATACTACAAATCCCATAGTAACGTGTCATAATATATTAGAAACATTTTAACCCTTTGAATGGTGAATAGTTTTAACTGAAAAATGTTATCTACTAATGAAATAATTTATTATTAATATTAATCAAATTATATTTAATAATAACAATTTTTCTTTCTCAAAATATTACTTTCATCTAACAAAATACAACAAAAATATTACACATTATTTTACATGTCACATTGATAAACACAATGCGTATCAAACGCATATATGCGTCCATATGGCACTCAAAGGGTTAATCATTATTATTAACAGAAATATTATGGGGAAAAAACATCGACAATACTTATCAAACAATCAAAAACTGAATCGTCGAGCTAACTCTTTAATAAATATATAACATTTCAAAATTGAAATATGACTTATAATATAACTTATGTTAATTATAATGAATTTTAATTAAAAAAAAAAAAAAAAAAAAATAGGGAAAATGGACTCACCTCGCAAACACAGGCAACTTGTTCCTGGGTGAAACCAAAAGTAGGAAGTTGTCCATTGGTAGCACCGCCCGCAGAGCTTGCAGGACTGTCCTGGGGACTGTAATTGCTGGTAGTCCCAGTGGTAGTACCAGTACCATAGCTGGTAACAGCTACGGCCTCGACACCAGTGGACGAATGCGAAGCCGAGAGTGGTGTCGGCGTGCTTTGAGGACTATAATCACTGCTGGTAGACCCTAAAACATCCGTACCAGCACCGGCTCCACCTCCACCACCTCCTCCACCACCAGCTGAGGGTCCCATTGCACCTCCACCACCGCTACCACCGCTTCCTCCGTAGGCCATCATCGCGTCATTCTTCTTTCACTTGGATTTATTATTATTATTATTATTATTTACACTATTTCTCTCCTTTTTTATTCTTCTTCTGTTTCTTCTTGTTCTACTGGCTTGCAGCACAGTTGAATGTTGTTATCGAATAAAATCACTTTAAAACTCTTTTAATATTAAATAAGAGATTTATTATTAGTAATTTTGATTCTTTTTTCTTTTACATTAATTATTTTCTTTAAACACTTTTCCATAGTTCAATTGAACGAAGATTTTCGCGGGTATTCCTCCATTACACTACGGTGTGAAGTTCGCGGCATATTATTTCTCCTTCTTATCAAACTTCGCGAATCTTCGCGAATGATGACAATGCAACGATTGATTATCATTTCGTATATTATTTAATATTTTAATTATTATAATTCATAATCGCGTGTTATTATATTTCATTTGTTATTATGCACGACAATGATGATGATGATGATGATGATAATGATGACACATGAATTTATGATCCAAGGTTTGGTACCACTTTGTCGTTTGATTTGTTTTATTCTTCTTTTTTACTGATCATGGAAAGTCTATTTAATTTCCATGAATGAAGAGAAGAAACACGGAACGCGGAAACTTTGTAAGAAAGATGAGAATAATGGTGGTGGTGGTGGTGGTGATAGTATTTTTAGAACAACGTTGATAGTAAGAACGATCGGTAACTGCTGTTTCTGATGATGATGATGATGATGATGATGATGATGATGGTGTTCCTTCCTATTGGTTACATACCGGCACACACAAATATATATATATATATATATATATATATATATATATATATATCTTCTTAATATTCATAAAACACGATAAATAACACTTATTAATAAGAAGAATTCCGAATAACGCGTAGATTATTTTTAACGAATTTATTATATCTTTCGAGAGATAATAATTAATTATTAATGATATGACACTAGAAGGTAACTTTAAAGTACCAACACCACGATGTGACAACCATAATACACTAACCCCATGCGTCGTCATCCGTCGCTTAGTTTTGATAAGATGTAATATTCATATTATCTTTTTTTTTTTGTATACCCTTATTGATATCATTTATTCTCTACTTTCTTTTCTTTTTTTTACTTTAATATCCTTAGTACGGCAGGTTGCACCGCCAAATCCACGGGCTCGAATTTCCACGGGCGGTGGTGGGTATATTTATAGGCGGCTTTAGTACACTCGCGCGCATCCTATTATTAGACAGTGTTTTAAAGACAGCCAGTTTCTCTCTTCCATTGCTCTATACTACCTCTCTTACTTTCTTTCCCCTTTCTCTTTCTCTTAATCTTATTAAAACTACACAAAATTTTCATTAATACGACTCACAGTTATTTCATCAATTTTCTTTATTCTTCCTGACACACGTCGATATATTATGAATAATATCATTCGATCGATTACAGAGAAATGAATAATAAAACAAAAAAAAAAAACAATAGAAAACAATTGTCCACACGAGAGACAGCGGACGTGTATATAGATTAATTTTTGTTCTTTCTTTAAAAACAATAAAACAAAAAAGAAAAACAACGCGTTTATTATCAAATACGGTGTATACCCTTTTGTCGAACGATTTAATCGATCTATGTATCACGAATACAATTAATATATTTATTTTATAATAAAAGGACAAACAAAAAAAAAGAAATAGATAAATAAAAGAAGGGAGGGCCGTCGCGCGTGCACACAATCGATGGTTGAACCCTCTTTCTCTCTTATACGAGAACGGCGCGAAAACTTTGACACGTTCTTCTATGCGCGCACCGAACGATACTGCTCGGTTAAACGCGTTCCCAAAGCGACCGTACTACTACGCGGCCTCCTATTGGCTGGGGCGTGGCCTCCGCGATGTCTACCCTCTTGCACCGCGATTGGATACTAGGCATGACCGCGACCACCATACCGTATTCTTATTGGTCGAGACGAGCACGTTCCTAAATAAGCCTCGTTAACTACTTCTCTTTGCTCCTACGACCCTTGCGTATCTCACTCTCTCTCTCTCTTTCTCTTTTTAGTACTCTCTTTATCTCTCTTTCTAGTTGTCTATCTCTCCTTTTTTAGATCTTTTACCCCCTCCCTCCTTCTACGAATCCTCCTTCCCATCGTATATAACCTACTGTTTTATCTCTCTCACATATTCTCTCTCTCTCTCTCTCTCTTTCTTTCTATCTGTATTTTTCTCTCTCTTTTTATCTATCGTTTTTTTTTCTTTCTCTTTATTTCTTTATCTCCTTTTATCCATTATTTTCTCTCCTTCTCTTTCTCTTTCACTCTTTGTAAAGAACAGATCGAACGCAACGAGACATCACCGTTGGTCGAATTATTATCCCTCTCTCTCTCTCTCTCTCTTTCTTTCTTTCTCTCTTTTTCTCTCTTTTCCCTCCACCATTTTTTCTTTCTTATATGTACGTTACTTTAGCTATGTTTACTTTAAATCAGACGTATCTCTAGTTAGTATTTTTTTTCTCCCGTTATAACGGCATTAATAATAATCTCCGAATATTTATAAATAATATTTTATTTTTTGAAATAAAATAAAATTACGATGGATCACGATAAAATAATGACAAAGAATTTTCCAATAACGGCATACGCGGTTAAAGAAATTTTTTTTTTTTTTTTTTTTATTCATTACAGAACATACAATCAATTCTCGACGAGAATTATAAGTACTTTAGGCTGACGTGATGTAATAACATGAAATGTACATGAATAATATATACAATGGTGAGTGTAG